GTAATGTGCCTTTTTATCTGAGGCTTTTGATTTAATGGTCCTACCCAAATACAAAGCAGCCATGGTCTTTGAAGATGGAGTCTGGAAGCTAGTGGTTCCAGAACTTAGAGGGGCCTATTGGACTGAGGTGGAATTTGTCCAAGGGGTTCTGCTCTCTCTAGAACAGAGGCTGGCCATATGGAGCCATCCAACAAAAACATTGTCAAATATGCCTCCCTTTTAAGGTCCTTTTAAAAATGGACTTATACTCCACACATTTGTCATGGATATGTGCATTCCTTAAACAAAAATGGCATCTTGCATACTGATCATTTATTAGAATTGACACCTAGCAAGAGGGGCAATAATTAAAGCCAGGAGACTTAGATACCCTGTTTCCCCGAAAATAAGACAGTGTCTTATATTAATTTTTGCTCCCAAAGATGCGCTAGGTCTTATTTTCAGGGGAGGTCTTATTTTTCCTGGAGCTTCGGGGCCTTATATTCCGGGGTGGCCTTATTATCGGGGAGGTCTTATTTTCGGGGGATGCCTTATATTACAGCGAAAGGCAAAACTGGAAGTAGGTCTTATTTTCGGGGGATGTCTTACTTTCGGGGAAAGATGGTATATAATTATCAGCAGCAAAGTTTGTAGCAAATTTAAAACTCTGAAATGCAATTAACATATTCCGGCTGCAAAATTTGGTCTTTACTTGCGGTAGAATTACAGGTATGTTAAATATTTACATACCTAGACTATCTAGATAAATATCTGAGTCCAATTTATCTAGATATAGACATTTAACACAGTTGTAACTCTCTGATATTTAAAAGCAAATTTATGTATGGGCTTAAAACATTATAAAAAAAAGTTTCAATACAGATCAAGGGATAACCTTACAAACTTCTTGATTCTTCTTTACTATGAAAGCTAACCTGATTTTAGTCAATGAAAAATAAATCAACAGCCACTATATTTGTGGGTATATTTTAGATCTTCATTGATGGACAATGGCTAGTCCTTGAACTCGTTGTCTTAAAGGGCAGAAAAACTGGAAGAATTTAGCTTCCGTGAAGTTGTGTTATCGTGCCAACATGTGCCCTATGATTGGTATTAAGAGAGGTCTGCTGTGGGATTGCTTTTTGTAGTACTATCTAATTTCCATTGCTAACAACATCTCTGAAGTAGCAGAGATAAACATTAATTTTTGTTGGTGTAGTTGTACAGCATCATGTGAAAAATATGTTATATACAGTACCTGGCACAATGGGGTCCTGGTCTGTGACAGGGGCTCCTAAACACACTATTACAATGCAAATAATAACCAATAAATAATAATATATACAGACAGCAGAACTGGCTCACTACACATAACGAAAATCTGTGAGGAAAAAATGGAAGACACAGATTATTTCAAAGTTTTGCAAAAAGTCAAGAATTGCAAAAATTAACTTCTATTTATAAGAAAATGATTCTGTGGAAAACACTTAATTTCCCAAGTTTCCACTATATTATATAAAAAGAACTGCACCTATTGGCTTTGTCTTGTATCTTATCAATCTAAATTAAAGTCCTATTTAAAAATATATAAAGAAGCACTTGGGGAAAAGCCTCCCAAGGGAAGTGGTGGCAGCCCCAGTGTAAAATTAAAATGTAAACAATCCAGCGGTGGCAAGAAGATGGACTGTCTGTATGCTCTAATATGTCTACTATTTCTAGTTTCCATGAAGCTGTGATTCACATACAGAATTAGAACTGGAGACTGATGTATTTCTGAGCCAGGGATGTGGTAATTCCCAGAACATGACTGACAATTTGCAAATTCAATGTGTTTGAATTTGGATTCTTCGTGAGTATAATCCAGCAGAAGGGAACAGCAGCACTGGAGTTACCAAATGAGGCCAATTCATTCTCTGGAATGTAGCAGCACTAATAATGAAGATTGATACTGACAGGGCTGCTTTCATGTAGCAATATGCTCTGCCACCAGCTGTGCAACAGAAAGAAAGAACTCTCTGGAATTCACAACATTCCCCCTCTGATTAATCCCTAGCTTTCCTGCTGTGTATGAATGAATTGTGCTAGGTATTCCTAGCTCTGACCGGGGAGATTTGCTGATTTCTTTGAACCCCTGTTGAGAAGTGATATAGAGAGTAAATAACCAGCCTGCAGTACCGACTGTGATGTAATGAACAGGGGTATGCAGATTGCAGAACCCTTACCTCTGCTATCCCAACATTCACTGTCCTTGCCTCTGAATGCCAGGAGAATTGGGTGTGTAGACAGAAACCCACTGCCCCATTTACCATTTATAACCAAGTTTAAAACTATGTTTCAATTTAGAAGAGCCTAATAGAGTTTAACATAGTCTAGCCAACACAGTCTTTATTTTAAAATAAAAAGCATGCTTTAAGGGCCAAAGAACACTACAAGGACAATGGTTGTCACCTGAAAATGTTAAAACATAATGAATTAAAAAAAAAAGTTAAACAGAAATATGTAAAATACTGGACGGAGTATCACCACTGCCCTCTACTGTAATGTCAGAACCTGCTCTAGCCATAGACTTGAGATTTTCTGTTTAATCCAAGTGGGAGGAGTCTATGTTTTTCTAGCAGAAGGACCAAAATTGCCCCCTTGGTTGTGGCTGTGACATTCTGGGTGGCCAAAGACCTTTAGAAGATACTAAGATTTTGTGCCATCACTGTTTCCACTTCACCTCTGAACCAAAAATGTTAAGAAAATAATAGCGGGGAATTTAGAAGGATTGAGACAAAGAATAATTAAATGTCTCTCTTTCAGTGGCTAAATATTACTTAATTAATTGTCAAATGACAATGCATTTTAAATGGCATTTTAAATACACAACATAATAATATAAGCAAGATGGGAGAAATCCTCGAGGAACCCTGTTCCAGTTTGGAAACCAAAAACAAGTTCTAGTATTCTTAGAACAGAACCCAAAAGAGAACTCAGTGGCGTAACAAAGAAAATATTTAGGGACAGGATGAATGTGAATAAGCCTAAAGACACCATTAAGGCACAAAACAACTGCAAAATGCAGGCAGACACATTTCATGCCCCATCTCTCTCATTACATTACATGTGCATTCTTTACAATTATAATACTTTGCTTAACTATATAAGTCCTGCTTTTACAGCAAAATTGAACATAAAATAAGATTACTCATATTCGTACAACCCTCCAAACATGATAAGATTACACATACTCTTAATAAGATGACTGGAGCTGGCTGTAGATGCTGACAAACCTTAGCAGCTCCCACCGAGTTCCTGCAAACTAGTTCCTCCACAAAAGGTCTTGCTCTGGAACTCTGACACTGCTCTAACTTGCACCCAGAAACGAGGGGGTGGAAAAGCCGCAGAAGGCTTCAGGATCTGGTCCTCTATCTGTGATTCACAGGAGAAAACATTAAAGACAGAAATCTTTGTTAGCTAGAGAGAGGTGAATATTGCACGTTGTTTTCTGGGAATTTTCACTCTGATTTTGAAATGAATTTGCTTAGGCCATGTTCATGACCCATTTGTGATCATTTTCTGAGAACATTCAAGCAACTGAGTTTTACTGGAATAGATGTTGGTAGAAAGCCAATGTCAAAGTTGCACATGAAATATTCACAGAAACTGCATTTTATATTCATGGACAGAAGCACTTGTGCCAGAAGAGCTTGTGTGCTCACCCAATAGCGGAACACAAACCAGACTATGATTTATGTGGCCAATCCCAACTATGCAATACAGCTGGCATTTTGAATATGGAATAAAAAAAAATTAACAGAAAACTATCTGTGATCAAATCTTAGTGGGGAAAAAGGAGAAAAAAATGTGTTGAATAAATTTCAAACAATAAATGCAGTTGGAGAAATCACAATCTGTTCCTGGATATACTGCGAACAGAAAGAGAGACTAAATTAGCTGGATGATGTATCATTCACTGTGGTTTATTTGCTCAGACCTACTGGCAGCTTGCCTCTTTGCCTTGATCCTTTTCTGAAAATGGGCCAAATTGTGAACCCTTTAATCCCGCTGGTGAGCAGTTACTCACATGAGTAATCCCGCTGATGTCAGTGACATTAGTTGTGTAAGCAGCTGTTCAGCAATTTGAGTAAGGAGTTTATAATTGAACTCTGTTTTTTGTGTTTTTTAATATAGTGATATTACTTTAGATTCAGGTCATAACAACTGTGTCACTAATTCTGTACTTTAATGTATGCTACAGCCCAGAAAAATTATTTAAGTCTTCCTGGAAATTTGATGTATCATAGTGCAATCGTGGTTCTAGTATAAAAATTCCCAGTGTGAAAGCCACTATCTATGTAGGAGACAATTACAACAGCATTAACAATGAAGATGTAAATTATGTTACTCTTGTAGTCTATTGACACCAAGAGAGTGACAGACACAGACCTGTATTTAAAAAGAACAATAAAAATAAATAGGGGACAGCTAGAGAATATTTTCAAACAATAAATACTAAAATTGGAAAAGCTCTGTTTGGGTATGTAAAGAAATTAATTATGCTTGTATGTACCTTAATTATAATTCCTTGCACTTCTGTTGTCTCTGTCATTCAAAGATCTCAAAGTTAATTAATCTCAAATTAATTCTTGAGATACACATGAGCTAGATATAGATCACCCCAATTTTACAAATGGGGAAACTGAGGCAGCTAGGTTAAATGATTTACCCAAGTCACAGTGGAAGTCAGTATCAGAGCCAGGCCTGGAATAAGCTCCTGACTTACATTCCCATGCTCAGACCATTATACCATGGCCCCACTTAATTATTAGTATTAATTATCTCCCTTTAATTATTAGTATTTCTAAAAAGGGTGAATTAAACTCTCGATATTACAAGGACAAAGCTTACATGATGAAGATAATTTCCTTCATTCACTTTAATACCATTTGTTCAGTTGTCCAGGATACCCTCTTGTTGAATTCCAAATGTAAATGTTTGTATTCTTATTATTAATTATTTGTCTTGTGGTGGCACCTGAAAGCCAGAAAAGCTTCGGACCCCCTTGTGCTAGGTGCTCTTAGCATCTTGAATGATTAAATCACAATCCAGAAGGACAGACACTGAAGAAAGCAGCTTATCCATAGCAGATAAATTGGGTGAAACTTTGAGGACTCCTTTATACAACAGAAATGTCTGAGAGCTGCAAAGGAACCAAAGGTGACTCTTGTTAAAAGAGATTTCAGATTGACACATCTATCATATGTCTTATCTAGTGTCTTCAGGAGAGAGCTTTATCCTTCACTGTGTTTCAACAGCTGTATTGAACAATCCATGTGATTTTTCTACATTCTCTCACATTCCAATTCAACCGAAGAGGTCCCCTGCAGAGTTGGTGCTTGCAACCCTTGAATAAAAGTTTCTCACACTACAACGCCATTATATCAGGGATACCAGGGGAAGATGATCCAAGTAATTCAACAAACCTTAACATCAAAGGTAACCCACAGGGGGTGGATCTGTTCAGAATCTCTCTCTGAAATCTTTTCAAATGCATCCTGTGATTTTTATAGCCCTTGTGCATTTTATTTTTATTCCTTATAATAAGAAATTCGTTTCTCAGTATCTCCAGTTGCATGGAGCTTATTATTTGTAATTTATATTGCACCAACACTGTGTTAAACATGTTATAAACAGATAAAGCTTTAAGAGTTAACCAGCTGTATGCCAATGCCCAGACCTGAAGAAGGGCTCTTTGCAAAAGCTTGTCTCTTTCACCAACGGATGTTGGTCCAATAAAAGATAACCTCACCCATCTTGTCCCTAACATCCTGGGACCAATATGGCCACAACAACACTGAAAACAAAAACACACAGGTACACATTCAATTCAAGTGTGAAGCTGTTTCTTCCAGTCTAAACAGACAGGAAAATTTGTTATAAGAACTCAAAAAAATTAGCATTAGCTAAAAGGATCTTGGTGACCTGTCTATTAATTTTTCATCATGCTATCATTTAGTTGTAAACATTTACCTCAGGAGGTTTTGTCAGTAGAAATGCAAACTATTTTAGAATGAATCAACAGAGAGTCCTGTGGCACCTTTAAGACTAACAGATGTATTGGAGCATAAGCTTTCGTGGGTGATGCTCCAATACATCTGTTAGTCTTAAAGGTGCCACAGGACTCTCTGTTGCTTTTTACAGATCCAGACTAACATGGCTACCCCTCTGATACTATTTTAGTATGCAGGCACTTCCCTGTTTAAAGATTGTGGTTTTCTAGTCCTAATGGATTGTGTGGACAAAAAGGTATAGAATCATTGCAGTGACTTTTCAGAACACTGTAGGCAGGCACCATAGACTCAGCCTATCCTTCCTGTGCCCTGCTCAGTAAAAAGTTTACTATTGCAAAATGTTGTCAATTAATTACTGGGATCTTTGGCAAAGCAGGTAACAGCCACAAGAAAACCCTGTAGCTAATCCGGATCTAATGCTAGAGGTCATGGGGGCAGTTGGTACTGAATGGATTGTGAACACACTAAAGGGAAGAAGGTATTAGGATAGGTCACTCTACCATGAAGATTGACGATAGCTTCCCTAGCCTTATATGCCCAATTTTCAATGCCCTGTTCCTCCCCTGCAATATCCCCCAAATTTCAGCCTGAAACCTTACATGCCACATTTCATCACAGGGTAGCGATTTCCTGAGAAGTTGGGCAAAAATCAGAAAAAAGAGTTTTAAAGATACAATATTTTGAAAATAAACCTGTCCTTTGCTTATTGGAAAAAAATCCATCTTTGTTGTGTTGGCCTTGCTGAGGAAGAGTGCCTTTTTGAGTTTTGGATGAGTAGGTAAAGAGTTACTTTTTAGTGTATAAAGACCAACCTTGATATTTGCAAACTACAGAGGGCAACTTTAAGGTTGGGTGGACAGTGTCAGTCAAGTGGGGTTATTGCAAGTGATGGAGGCTATACAGCATTAGATCTAGCGGGATCCCTGAACTATTCATTTCCAGCCTTAACATTTTTTGAGTGGAAGAGGGTTTGAAAATAAATTGTACATTTGGGGATGTGTTATCTGCACTCTTAAGAAACTTTTTCAATCTTACCTCTTTTTGAACAAAGTTTTTTGTTTAGCAATGTAATATATATGAAGTAAGGAAATAGAGAACACATTAGAGCACATAAGCAGAGTGAATATGCCAAGATGTATTGAACATTTATATGATTTAAACATAACGTTATGGGTTGAGTTAAACCTTGTTGTTATCGGCCAGGCATGGCTGCCATCTTACATTCAGGATAAATGTAAAGAAGCCACTGTAATCAGTAGGCTGAAACAATAACAGTAGCATTGCAAACACAGGACCACAAACAAGCTGAGCAGAAGTTTAAGCATATGGCTCAGGGGGTTTCAAATGCAGGTGCTAGGGCTTTGATTGGTGGGATTGTTGATGGTGTTTGTGTTTGTATGTGTGAGCGATACACACACACAGAGAGCATAAGCTGAAGCACCACAGGACAGACAAAAGCTGCAAGAGAAATCCAAGCAGATAGTAACTAAGAGCAAAAGCTTTTTGGGTACAGAGTACAGCTGAGAAGACAAGCTTAGAACAGTGAACACAGGAACTGTCTCCTGCTGTTTGTTTCTTACTTTGTTCAGGGAAACAGGATTTTATACATTCTTTGCAAATAAACAAAGCTGCATCAAAGAAATACCTGTTACCAATTTTCCCTCCTAAGTGGAACAACCTCAAGACCCAAAATTTTTGGCTAGCTGCTCGGTCGATAGAGGTAACAATAAAGAGCCAAATTAATCTCTGAAGTAACTTCCATGATTTTAATAGTTTCCAGGAATGAATTTGACCCATTATTATTAAAATATTTAAAACCACCACCAGTTACTATTGCAAGTTTATTTTCCCATTGATTCCAAGTAATCTCAGTAATACTTGTTATTAACTTGTTAATACTTACTATAAATTGCAATTGCCATAAATAATATTAAATTTTCATCACTACACAGTCTGTAGAAGTAACATTAAAGGGACCCAATCAGTTGAAAAAACATATTAAAAAAACAAGTATCAGAGGGGTAGCCGTGTTAGTCTGAATCTGTAAAAAGCAACAGAGGGTCCTGTGGCACCTTTAAGACTAACAGAAGTATTGGGAGCATAAGCTTTCGTGGGTAAGAACCTCACTTCTTCAGATGCAAGTAATGGAAATCTCCAGAGGCAGGTATAAATCAGTATGGAGATAACGAGGTTAGTTCAATCAGGGAGAGTGAGGTGCTCTGCTAGCAGTTGAGGTGTGAACACCAAGGGAGGAGAAACTGCTTCTGTAGTTGGATAGCCATTCACAGTCTTGCATCTGAAGAAGTGAGGTTCTTACCCACGAAAGCTTATGCTCCCAATACTTCTGTTAGTCTTAAAGGTGCCACAGGACCCTCTGTTGCTTTTATTAAAAAAACAGACTCTCTTACCTGTGTTATTAACATCTTGGATTATGACACCTAAAAGAATTTTAAAGCTCTGATCACTTTTCATCATTCGTGCCATTTTTCTCTGTTTTGCATTTCACTCAGCTTTGATAATGAAATTAGACTAACCAGTTTCAATTGTTGGCTTCTATGCACTAGCACAATGCTGCAGTATTTCAGTTACACCTACTGTAACTGAATGGAGAGTGAGTGGGGAACGTTTTATCCAACCAAGAAACTGTTTTAGTTGGCATTTTACAAAAATATTGATGGGTATATTTATGCTGATCTTATGGGACATGACCCTGCAAGGAACTGAATGCCTCCTGAAGAGATACTGGACACCTTTAATTCCCATTTAAGTTACTAGGAGCTAATGGTACTTATTGCCTTGCAGGATTGGGACAACATTTTGTATCATTTTAGCCCTAAACTGACCTAATAGTGGAATTATTTCTACACTGAAGTTCTTAAAAATACTTAAGCCTAAAACCTCAAAAGATCTAAACTGTACAATATAATCCTGTTCATTTCTGCACTTTCTAGTTATTTTTCAACTGGAAAAAGTATTTTCTTTATGGATGAAATTTGTCTAAACATTTGCAGATTAAGCACCTTGAGTGTTTTGAGTTGTGATCATTTTTAAGGAGCATGCTGTCAAGGTAAGTATGTGTCAGGGTATGTAATAAGTGTGTACCCTTATTACAATTCACAAAACTGTTGTGTCTAAGATTATTTGACTAGAAAGACATGAACTACTCTGGTCTACAGCTTTGCTTTTCTCTCACATCTCCTTTGTAACACTGTACAGAAAATATACTCTATCAAAGCATACATCCAATCTTAGTTTTTCCTCAGCGAGCATTAGTTATCTAGGGATTGCACATTTTATAGAATCTATCAGTTACTTATAACAAACTGAACAGAGTTGTATTTTGTCTGGGAAGTACGTTATTGACTCCACTTTGCGATAGCAAAGGCAGAACTGTTGTTATGCTCCTCATCACAATTGATTATACACTAACACCAAGCACTCCTTTCCAGCTTGATATCCTCCTGCCTGTTCATAAAATATTTGTCTTTATATTTAAAACTATTTTAAGATAGTTTGTGTGTATATGTGGGAGGGTGTGTACATGTGGGGGAGTGTAAAATGACTAGCGAGAAAATTATGCTCTTCCTTTTAACCCCATTGACTTTAATGAGTTGAACAGATATAATTAACATCAATGTTTTCCCCTTAGTAGTCAGGCTTTTCAAAAAAATATCATAAAAATGGTGAAACCCTCATTGTTGTAAACAAGAAGGAATCAAAATCTTGGGCTAGCTGCTTAGGACTACCTTGGACCACCTTTGCACCTCCTTGGTCAAGCCTTCTGGAATTGGCTTAGACCAAAGGAACAGTTCAGAGCAGCCTCAGGACTGCTCTATATCATTCTGGCTACAATGGCTTCCAAGGGTCTTTTCAGCAAATGAGATCACTGGAGAGGAGGGGTGCTCTGGCCAGCCACCCTTATCGCTGGCCACAGCCCTTACACTGGGCACTGCAAGGTGGAAGTTCAGCTACATCAGCTGTATACCATTGGAGGATTCCTACAAGCAAGGGGGTTGTCAGTTGGCTATTTGAGCTAGCTTTACACATCTGGTGGTGCAAAGCAAACTTTATGGGGCTGAGGACCTGAATCCTTGATTTTATTCATATCATATACATTTTTACTTAAATTATTTCATCAAAACAGAAAAGGATCCATCAGTGGGAAGCAGTCCAGAAAGTGAAGGGAGTCAGGGACACTATCAAGTCTGGGAAGGAACAGAAGATAGAGCAGGCATGGTCAGGGTTCAAACAAAAGACTCAGGGTCAGTGATCACATCTGTGATTTTAGGAAGGCAATAGTAGTGAGATGGGTTTCTGATCAAGTTTCCTAATTTTGTTCCCCCAGACAAAAATTCGAAGGGATTTCAAACTGGCACAAAAATCAAGTTCTGTTCAGCAAATCAAATTAAACTATTTCACCTCCATTTTCATGGATGTGAAGTGACCCTGTCTCTGAGAATTATGCTGCAAAAATACACGCCCTATTGTGGTAAATGCAACAAATTACACATCTTCTAGCGCTGTTTGGCTGGTTTCAGACTCATGGAAAAATTGTCTATTTTTTTAAAATAGGAAAGAATATTAAAAATCGGCATGGATGCCCTTAGTCTGCAATTTTGTCCATGCCTCCATGAATAGTTAAAACCACTGTCACTGCAAATTGTCATTAACTGACAGATCATTGACAAAGTGGCAGAAAATTACGCTGTGGTCCTTATAATAGATACTAGCTTTGGAAAGCAGATTTTTTTTGAGTATGGTAAGAAATGCTATGCTAAGAGTAATTCTACCTAGGGTATAGCTATTATGTTATTTTAAAAGATTTTTCCCAGATTATGAGCCTAGGGAGAGATTAATTCATATCTATGGAGAAAACTCCAAGATAAAAACAAATTACACATGTACAGGTGCTATGTTTTTAACATGATTTTCAAATTAAAACCAAACACCAGATCCTCAGTCCTGCTACAACTGCATTGCAGCGTTCTGACTCCATAAAAATGATGTTTTAACCATCTGGTGGAGGATTCCCCCAGCTTTTGGGGAATTCCCAAATATTGTAGAGCAGCTGTAGAGACTGAGACACCACTCCTTCCCCACTCCCACCTGACCATCTGTGCAGGAGATATTTCCTAGGGAAAGAAGGCAGGGCCACAATGCCATAGTGATACTCAGTCACTGGAAAAGACCCTTTGGGCTATAAGGAGCTGGATGTACGTTACAATAGCTCTTAAGCTTTGTCCACACTGGATTTTTGTTGGTAAAACTTTTGTCATTCAGGGGTGTGAAAAAACCACACCCCCGAACGACAAAAGTTTTACCGACGAAAAGCGCCGGTGTGAACAGCGCTTTGTCAGCTGGAGAGTTTTCCTGCCAACAAAGCTACCGCCTCTTGTTGGGGGTGGAATTTTTTGTGTGGGCATGAGAGCTCTCTCCCACCAACAAAGAGCGGCTACACTGTGAACCTTTTAGCGGCACAGCTGTAGCAGCACAGCTGTGTCACGAAAAGGTGCGTAGTGTAGACATAACCTTAGACTGCCCTAACTTTTGCTGGAACCAAGTTGGTCCCGGGCTGGCCTTAAAATGGAGGGAGGGCATAAAGGTGACATAACGCCCCCCGCCCTCCTAAGCTGAACTGAGTTTACTGTTTATCCTGACCTGCACTTGTCATTTATTAAACTAATAGGTGAAACAAGGACACTGGCAGCACTCATTTATTTAGATGGTTCCAACTATGTGGCTTGACTCTGACCTGAAGGGACTATCTCTAGAGGTTAGATTCTCCATTGGTTTCTTGGTCTCCCTTTGACCTTTCTACTGAGACTTGGTCAGCTCAGCAAAGGTGACATTTAGTGCCAACTATGGTAGTGGTGATTGTTTTAGTAACATGGGCAACTGACCCCTGGGAGCTGGACTGATATCCCACTGATCAGATGACAACAGATTTGTCACTGCACTGTCAAAATACCCAATTGCTTCATTTCAAACAAGGGTCTTGGCAGCCAGCCCTCCTCTTTGCCATTTTTGGAAGATTCATCCTAGCGCTTACTTGAAGTCTTACTGGAACTTCTCAGTTCCATTCCTTCATTATAGCCATATGGTCCTCAAGTCTTTGCTTGAAATGTGGCAACTGGGTATTTTGACATTCCAGAGCCAACAATAGTTAAAAGGAACCTTATGAACATTTGAATTCTACATGTGGAATCATTTATTATGTGGTATATGAACCATTAAGATTACAAGCACTTGCAAAGTGATATATAGAAAACGTATGCCTAGATTACATTCTCACACGTATTTGTCATTTGTTTTTGAGAGGAAGATATTAACACAGCAAAACATGCTACAGGCACAAGTACCTTAGCCAAGTCCTTCAGCATGTTCGGGGGAGGTATGTTTTAATGAAGAAGGAATGAGAGGAGTTACATAATTCCCTGACCAAAGCTCAAAGAGACTAATGGATTTGAAGTTAGATGCCTCTAGGTCAGGGATGCACTTGTCCTGAAATGAGAATAAGAAAACTCCATTAGTGTCATGTTTTTATTTCTTCACAATTTATTCTGGTTTGGAGCCTTGGGAGTCAGAGGCCAACACTTTCCTGTTCATAGAGTACTGAAAAATTAGTGTCAAACTGATCAAGGAGTGAGGGGAAAAACATAAGTACAGGAAATCCAGGGGTCTACCAGGAAACACCCCTGAATGGGGTCCAAATTGTCTTCCATGCTATTTGAATGCCACATAAGGGATTTTCAGGCTGGGATCCTCTTGCCCCCACCCCAAACAAAGGAGTACTGTGGAATATGACTCCCTACTTCTAGTAGTGGAGAGTCTGTGACTGATTATTCTCAACCACTGAAGGGGTAGGGCACTGATATATCTGTTCATAAACACCATCTATTAACACAAGCGTGCTCCAAGTTAAGGTCCCCTTTATCATTCCCAGAAGCTGACCGATCTCCAATAAGACTGAGGATCAATAGCACAGAGGAGTGGTTGGCAGCGTGAGGCTGGTAGCCAGCTGGATGGCTTTTGTCAGAGGACCAAGGAGTTCCATTGTGTTGGGGGAAGGCAAAAAGGGAGCGATCAGAAGCTGAGAGAGCGGAAGAGGGAAAAACTCTGAGGAACACAGTATACACCTTTTCTGGACAACTTGAAGTATAGCTACTTTGATAGTCCTCTGCCTTCCCTTGCATTGAAAGGCAGAGCTGCATCCCACTTTGTAAAACTGCCAGGCAGTTCTAGTGGCAGCTTCCTATTTAATTATTGCTGCAAAATTAAATTTCTTTTGGTAATGAGAATGTTTTATGTATTCCATTGTTGCGTGTGTGCAATATGAAAGAAAAACCACAGCAACACTACTGCAAAAAACACTGTGGTTAAATATAGACACATAATAACCATGTTGCACTGTAAGTTAAAACTAAGCATGCCAGGGCTCAAATAAAAAACTTCTGCATACAGAGATCCAAGGTTGCAGCAAATGGCTTTCATCAGACAAGCTTTGCTACTCCCTACATTTATTTTCAATTGCAAGCTGGACAATTAGAGCCAGATCCTGGGGTTCTGAGGAGCTGCACAGAGCATCAGTCAGGGGTGCGTGTATACAGGTGTCTTAAATTTCCTGCAGCTCTGTGCAGGATTGATCCTCCTGCATCATTTTAGTCTAGAGCTGCATGAGGGCTGTCCTATTTTACATTTTGCTGAAATGCGATTGAGGATTGGTGTCCTGGCCAGGCACCCTTTTTTCCAGTTACACTTTTTCCCCCTCAGATATACTGGTAGCTGGGTGAAGACGAGACTGAAAACTCCTACGCAGGCTACATGCATTTGGAGGTTTCTTCTTAAGTTGTGATCTTCCCTGGACCAGTTAAACCATCTTTAAGGTCAGATTACACACTGCATTACACTGGAGAATATTGCCCGGTATCATTGTCAATAAGGTAATTATTAGCTGTAGCAACACGAAATCACATCTCATTTAGTTCCAATTACACTCTAGCCATAATGGGCAAGATTCTGGCCCCCACTCAGCCCCTACATGTTGGCCCAGTCCAATTCCGTTACATGCTTAATTACACCCACTTAAGGTTATGAAAGGGAGTTTATATTGGTTTAATTTACACTCTGCCTGGGCTATACTAGGAATTTGCATCAGTATAGCTCAGAGATCGGCAACCTTTGGCAAGCGGCCTGCCAGGGTAAGCCCCCTGGCGGGCCGGGCCGGTTTGTTTACCTGACGCGTCCGCAGGTTCAGCCGATTGTGGCTCCCACTCGCCGCGGTTCCCCACTCTAGGCCAATGGGGGCTGCGGGAAGCGGTGCGGGCCGAGGGATGTGCTGGCCGCCACTTCCTGCCATCCCCATTGGCCTGGAGCAGCAAACCACGGCCAGTGGGAGCCGCGATCAGCCGAACCTGCAGACATGGCAGGTAAACAAACCGGCGGGCCGCGGGCCAAAGGTTGCCGATCCCTGGTATAGCTACATCTCTCAGGGGTGGGGATTTTTCAGACCCCTGAGAGACGCAAGTTCCCAGTATAGACCAGCCCTTAGCCTTCTCTGCATTGCACTGGTACATGCATGTAGACATGCTGCATAATATAAACCAGGCTACTCTGGTTATTCATTGGATTAAGTCATACTAATCTAGGCCCCACCAATGCAGCTCATCTACATTAGGGGTTTACACTGATGGAACTAGACTGATACAGTTACATAAGGGAAAATTCTCTAATATAGGCAAGACCTCAGACTCAATGAACCAAATTCCAAAGTGCTGTATTAAAGGGAGTGGCTGTATATTACAAACTGGTCAGGGGTCGTGATCCTAAAGAAGTCTAAATTGATGTAGCATACATATGTATGGAATGAAGGGTCCATGAGCTGAAAGAAGGATTAAATTAAACCTACTTACAGAGTTTATCTACATTTAAAATGCTGCAGCTGCACTGCTGTAGCGCTTCACTGTAGACACTACCTATGCCACCTACCTGAGAGGCAGTAGCTAGGTCAAGAGAAGAATTCTTCTGTCGACCTACCACTGGTCTACATTGGGGGTTAGGTCGGTTTGGCTACATCTCTCTTAGAATCACTTCTGAATTTGGCCCTTATACTTCAGCAGATATTCTCCTAGGCCTGGTCTAGGCAAGGAGTTTACATCGGTGTATCTATGTCTCTCGGGGATGTGAAAAATCTATCCCCCTGGGACACAGTTATTTCAACCTGACCCCTGGTGTTGACAACACTAGGTCAATAGAAGAATCCTTCTGTCGACCTACCTACCCTCTCTCAGGGAAGTGGTTTACCTACACCAATGGGAGAAGCCCTCTCGTTGGCATACATATACTGAAGTGCTACAATGGCACAGCTGCAGCGGCTCAGCTGTGCCTCTATAGCATTTTAAGTGTAGAGAAGCCCTTAGTAAAAGAAATAGATGTCAGATCTGCCCAACAGTATTACATATAATGGCAATCCCTAAGCATCAACTATTTATTTACTTAATGATTCATCCTCTCCTCCATATGTTTATTTAAATAGCCTAACCACATCCATTGTTGCTGATTACAAGCTGGAAATGACTTTACAATGTCATGTTCAATCGACTCTAATCATTCCCACATGGTCTTAGACTACAGAGTTACCACTCATCAGTGAACATTTGCAGAAGAGAATAAATCAGCATTTCACTTGGGATAAACTACTACTGGGGAAATATGTATTTAGAGTTCAATCCAGCACCCAATGACATCTGTTAAAAGACTCCTGGTGACTTCAACAGGCATTAGGCTCAGGCCCTTACAACAAAAAATGCCACAGCTCTTCGAGCACCTTCTGTGTGATGAAATTGTGAAATATCCTTTCAGATGCAATTCTACTCTGAAAACTGACTATGTAAAAAGGGCATCATGGGACTCCATGCTAATTCCCCCTCAGACCAGGTCTAACACTAGGAATTTACTTCGGGATAGCTACATCTCTCAGGGGTATACAAATTCCACACCCTGAGAGACATCGCTATACTGACCTAACCCAGTGTAGACCAGCACTAGCTTGATTGAATAATAGCTACTGCCTCTTGGGGCAGTGGATTACTTACATTGACCTTGTTTAATTAGCTGGTAGCAACAGCTGATTTCCTTTGTTTTCATTCTCAGCTCTTCCCCCGGAAAGAGGGGTGAAAGGGCTTGAGGGTACCCCACAGGAAGGAATTCCCAAGTGCACCCTCCTAGCTCTTCAAAGGGGTTTTTGCATTTGAGTGGTGGCAGCATCTATCCAGCTCAGGTCAGAGAAAAGCTGTAACCTTGGGAGTTTAATACAAGCCTGGAGTGACCAGTATTAATTTGGGAGAAGCCCTCCTGTTGGCATAGGTAGTGACTGCACTGAAGCACTACATGGAGCTGCTGCAGCGTTTTAAGTGTAGGTATACCCAACCCTCAGTGATTCCAGATCAAATGTGTTCAGTTAACAAGTAAAAAGATGGGAGGAGTTTAACTGCCAGCCATGTAAATTCAACCTCGGATCTGAAGTTGATGCTCGGTTCTTTCTGGTTTGAGCATCACCACCAATAATAAAGACTCAGATTCTGAGAGCCAAATTCTGTTCTCATTGTCTTCAGTGGGGTTGCGTAGGTCAGTGGGGTTCTGAGGTCAGAATCTGGCTCTGCAGAGGAAACTAATTAACAATTCCGTTGACAATGCATGAACCAGAATAGAATCCAGCTCTCTTTCCCATAGCTCTGCAGGGCTAACAAGAGTAAAAAGTTATAAAAACATTCTTTTGTCAGTGAGCAGATGTGACACTGGGTACACAGAGGCAGCTAATATTCAGAGTCAGAAGGAGCCATTTTTACATGATTACTTTTTTTCCCACAGCCGCATTAATTATCCATGCTTTTGTAAGCCCATTGTGATGGGAGCAGATACCAGATCCAGCAGACAAGAAGTTGATCCCCTGATCAAGGCTCTGGTGGCTCACAGCTATACCGGGGGAAGGTAGGGCTCCTGACAGAACAGACTCTAGCCACGTGCTGAGCCACACAGGACTTTTTAAGGAGCCCCATCTTTTCAGTACTCTCTTTCACCACACACACACACACACATAATGGCCTTTTGAGACATTGCTTCACCTACACATCAGGAAAGATGAACTACAAGGGTATGTCTATACTTACCTCCGGGTTCGGCGGTAAGCAATCGATCTTCTGGGATCGATTTATCGCGTCTTGTCTAGACGCGATAAATCGATCCCGGAAGTGCTCGCCGTTGACGCCGGTACTCCTGCTCTGCGAGAGGAGTAAGCGGAGTCGACGGGGGAGCCTGCCTGCCGCGTGTGGACCCGCGGTAAGTACCTTGTATTTCGAACTAAGGTACTTCGACTTCAGCTACGTTATTCACGTAGCTGAAGTTGCGTATCTTAGTTCGAACTGGGAGGTTAGTGTGGACCAGCCCCAAGATTCCAAACCCCCTCTCAGTTGCTGAAAACCTGTTCCTGATCTAGATCTAGCTGA